GAAAGAGAATATGAACCACAGGTTCTAAGCCTTGTGGGCAAGCTTCATCGTCAAGCTACGTCAATGAATTTGACCTAATCAGATTCTCAGAGTCTCAGTTGCTTTCTGAATCAGTGAGTCCCTCGAGATTCTTGAATCCAGTATTGGTTATGTTTTATGTAAACTCAGCTGTTTTTTTTTTCGAAGGAGAAACGTATGTGCTGGGAGACCAAGTTGGTTCCACCGGTGTATCTGCAAATGCTACAGATAATGTCGCAAGAGACATTCAAAGGGAATGTGACCAAGAAGTCGGATGCTTATAGTATAATAAAGATGGATCAGAGCAAAGTCGGCCGTGTTTATGATATGCTTGTGAAGAAGGGAATTGCTCAGCAGCAGCCTTAAAGACTCTGACACTGGGAGATGCTTGTCTTAAAAACACCTTGGATTGTTATGACAGCACACACACTTCTTGACTTCCAAAATGGAAGTGTCATCTCTGAAACTTCACGGTAACCTCACAAGGTGCAAAGCTCTCACCAAAATCAATACGCGTGTCAAGCACAAGGACATGGCAGCTCAGCCAGAACAGGTCTTGAACCTGGTACCCAAATGGCAGAGCCTCATAAAGAATGAAACTTGGGTGAAATCCTCGTAATGAGTTTGGGTTTCAGTAACGTTAACGTTGCTGCGATGCCGTTTGGACAACATGAGAGGAAAAAAAGGTACGTCCTTTACGCGTTTAACTGTCAGTACCCGAACCATCTATAAGACACGTTTTCACCAGATGGCTTCAAACTATTGTTCATCCATGGACTCTTTTTGGGCCATCGTCCGTTCATTACACCATACAGAATACATATATGTTATTAATACAGCAGGTACAGTTTTTGCGATAAGACATCAGATCTTTGAACAGAGATGGTAGCATCAGAAGCAAGAAACAGAGGAAACAGAGAGAGGGTAGGGAAAGGAAAGCTGTTGGCGTACTGGAAGGAGAGGATCTGACCAGGACCCAGAGGCATTCCGTCATTGACAAGGCAGTCGTCGTAACTTACTCGCCTGAAAATTCTAGGGTTGATCAGCCTGACCGAGGTGAACCAGCCACAGCTGACGTGGATCTCCGCAATGCTGCAGCCGGAGACACACCCGTTCACTATCTCCACCGTGTAGGCCGGCACTCCGTTCGGCATCGGTGCCGTTGGTCCCTGCATTATCCCTATGTCGTCTTTCGAGCACTCTGTCCCTATCCTGTTTCCGTCCCCCTTATCATCTTCAAAAGCAACGAGTTACTTTTTGATATGTATGTCACAATGTAAAATTATTCCAAAATGTAATGTAACGTTGTCTTCTCTCCCTATGTTTTCGATCATTACAGTACTTCATTAGAGCACAAACTATTGCATTGGTCTTTGTCTTAAGCTTCGGGTTTTATATAACAGTTCACGACGCATAATTGTACTGTGGGTGTAGTAGTGATTAAGGAATACGGCAGACAATAAATAGGAGGAATCCATTAAATACCAGGAGACAGCAGAAGCTTTCTGGCAACGGCGGAGTGATTATCCTCGGAAGAGAAAGATCTTCCATTAATGCCAATGAGATCTTCAATGGCGTTGCCCTTCACAACTGCAAACAGCGAATCAATCTCATGGGCAACTTTAATGGGTTTTATCCAGATTCGACATGAAAAGTGGTCAAGTTCTTGGCAAATGTTCTTGCACTTGCCGATCCAGAAAGGTGAAGCCTTTTTTATGTTTTGGATCAAACGAGAAAGAAAGTGATGGGTGTGAAGTTGCAGACATGCATGCACATTGTGTGTATTTGGAAGTAAAAGAGATATATATATACACACACACACAACGTAATAACAATATATACCAACTACATGAATACAAGGATTGGAAAAAAGGGATCGAACCTTCTCGTCTTTAAAATAAGGAACACCCATGAAATATGTTAGAGATATATATATAGCTAGGAGGTGACCATGCACAATAACCAAATTATCAGAGGAAGAAGATAAGATATAACGTACACAGAGAAAGAGACAGCAACATTCCAAAACCCACGAAGTGTCTGTATCGTCGTCGTCTCTCTTCCATCATCACCAATCGTACCAAAGCTCTGTAGTACGTTGAACGGACAAGTGTGAATATGTAGCTACTACCTGCAGGCATCAGTACGCTCATATATGTGTGTGTGGAGGTGGGTGTGTGTGTGTATATATATATATATATATAGAGAGAGAGAGAGAGAGAGTAATTGATAACGAGGGGATAGAATTACAAGTGGAAGCCGGTATGATGGCATGCATGCCTCACTAAAGAAGGTGGTATCACTGCATATACAAAGTATTTAACACCTACATTATACATTCTTGAATTTGGAGACGAAATTGCACGTTCCTTGGATTATAAACATCCTAGAAATCGCCTCTCGTTTGAGAATTAAAAAGGAATGAATTTTACAAAATGAATGTTTTTCTTGAATATAATGAATATAATTCAATAACTATGACAAAGAAAAAAAAAGGAACGAGAGATTAAAGGAGAGGAGCTGACAAAGAAGTAGTTGGGGGGAGTGTCATTATTGGTATGGGGAAGAGAAGAGACCACTACCAAGTCTTTGCATTTGGAAGGGACAACGCGAGTGAAAGTAGAAGCGGCCTCAGAATTCAGACCGATTTCCTGATCATTAAAAGTCTCTGCTTCAGTTCGGTTGGTCCGTTATGTATGTGTTATAAGTAATACCCTTTTTTTCATAAAAAAAAAAAAAAAAATTGAATGAAGGGGCGAGTTGATGGAGGTCAGCCCATGCACACGCCTCGACCTACGTATCGTCATTCATTAGTGAATTGGGTAATTGAATTGTCTCGTTTTTTTTAAAAAACAATTTAAAAAAAATCTAACTCCTATTTGGAGAAAAATAAATAAATTGATTAAAGAAAAAAAATCTAACTTTACACCCATTTGATTACAACCATTTATAAAAATATCTGGAATAAAAAAATATTCTAATGTATCTAGATTTTTCTAGCGTGATATCTAGATATTTTGTTATAATTATCTATATTTTTCTTAACTAAAATATCTAAATGTTTCTTCTTATGAATTTCTATATATATACATTGGATAATAAATTAATTTTGGGTTTGATCTATTTTATTTTGGATCAATGATCCAAAATTAAACTTAGCTCAAAACCGGTGAACAATGTGGAGTTAAATTCGTTGATTCTCGGCTACCAAGATATCAAATGGGATGCATAAATTAGTGTACCAATTGAAATATTTTGAAACGAATTATTTGATCCTAATTAAAACTTAACCAAAATCAAGTTTTACTTCAATATAAATAAATAACTTTGCATATTTCGTCGGTACAAATAATGTTCATCCTTCTATCGAAGGTTAACGATGGTTGCATTAGTTTTGTCTTGTATAGGGTTAGAATGAATATCTACATGAATAATAGAAAAATTCCGGATATTGCGTTGGTACAAATAATGTCTATCCTCTATTCGTAGGTTAATGATGATTGGACCAGTTTTGTCTCGTATAGGATTAGAAGAATTAAACACTATACACACACACACACACACACACATATATATATATATATATATATAGACGCACATTAAATAGTATGAAATTCATGGGTCAATGGCTTGCAGAAGAAAAACCTAGGCTTCGAGCCCCTTTTAAGGACACTCTAAAATCTTATACGGAAAGCAACAAAAAATTATTGAAACCGTGACGTACGAATTTCGGTGTTATGCGTGTGTATATATATATATATATATATATATATGTTTGCAACTTTATGTACGCAATTCCACTTAATATGGGACTTAATTTCTTGCAATAATAACCAATAACCTATAAACGACGGCCATATTTGAACATATAAAATATGGTATGGAGCATATTTAGTAGAGTTTTCTTTTCCTAGAAAGTTTTGATGAACATATAAAATTTGGCTGTTTAAATTATGATATATTTTTTTAAAAAATATATTACTTCAGATTTTGTAAATTTTCTCTCTCTCTCTCTATATATATATATATAAGCAATTTTTTTTAAAAAAAAACTTTAGGGATATAAGGCCGTTTCATTAAGCGATTAATGATAATATTATAAGCATTTTTAAAAAAAAATTCTTGTCCTCTCTTGAAATTTCATGTAGAAAAAATCGTTCAACCCAAGTCACAGTTATTGAAACCTCGCGGTGGCATACATTATACAAAAAATTATATTCATATGTCATTGTCATTACAATAATAGATCCCATTTATAAATTTCACAGCGTGCTTTCTTGTTCCACACGCAACGTCCCCACCCCCTTATAAAATACTCCACAGGAGCTGCCATTCATTTAAAAGAAAAATTACAGAGAGCTAATGATGACGACGACTCTGAAATGGCTTCTTCACTCGGCGGTCCACTTTCTGAATAATACTAGTAATGAGACAGAGGAGGAGGAGCATCGTCCTCAAAACGGCGTCGTTAAGGTTTCCGAGTTCAGGATGCCTCTGCATTACCCGAAGTACTCAAAGTCCGATTACGACAGCATGGAAGAGTGGAAGATCGATCTGCTTCTCGAAGAGTACGGTCTCGCCGGCTTCGGTGGCGGCAGCCCCCAAGAGAAGCGAGCTTTTGCCATGGGAGCCTTTCTCTGGCCTCATCAGTTATGAATCTTCTTCTTCATCACCTTTTTTTTTTTTAACATTAGTTCCTTAAATTAGCTTATCCTAATCATATACTATAGTATACACACACACACACACACATATACGTATGGATCAAGGTATAGTATAGAGCCCTATATATCGTCCTCGCGTGTATTGAATCGAATGGAGCTTTGGTATTTGCCACCATTTTCTCTCTTTTTACGCGGATGCAGAAGATTACAACGGCAATCGAGTTCTGAAGCTTCGTTCTTCGGGCAAAACCTTATTCAGAACTTGCAAACAAAAAAAAAAAAAATTTTATCGGGTTAATAAGACAATAACGTGCGAGCATCCTCCAAAGCGAGAAAAACCCACGTCTCTTCCCTATTCACTTAAAAGACAGCTCTTCCCCGTACGTTTAACCCAAATCCGATGCCTAGAAATCTCCATTCCTCGGTCCTGTTCACCTCTGCATGGACTTGTAGAGAACCACAGTCACGTACTTGGCCAGAAACCGGTGAGTAGAGCCAAGGGCAACGATGGACGGGCCGCTCCTTCCCTTCTGCATGAAGATATGGTTCAGGATCACGTGTTGAGGCCTCGGCAGCTGAGACGGAATGTCAGTGCTGGTCGACGATAGATTCAGCAGCGTCATCTGTAGGTGCGGAGGAACCACGGGCGGTTCTTTCGAGTAATCCTCTGCTCCGAGAAGCGGGTTGTCGTCGTAACTTGACTCAGGAGATTGCGGAGGTTCGAACCCTGATATGCTCTCTATGTCTTCAGGAACGTAGTCCTACACAAACAGATATCGTCGACTATCAATCAATGGATCTTTTTTTCCCGAAATATGGCAACTATGCCAATGCGTAGAATCCTGAAAGGCCAAATTTTAAACTAGAAAAAAAAAACGTTAAGGGTACCATGAATCCATGTGAAAATGGTATTTGCCTAAATGATACACACCAGTCTACTACAACAGCAAGATCCTTGTACTAAAGTTTCAACACAGACATTGTCATGATACCGCACCACCACAATGCACACCAGATAATCTCATGAACATTTCCTTTCAACCCATTTTTCCCGGGTTGCAGCCATCGGTTCTTATGATTCTTACCCCTAAAATATGGTTAGCTTATTACCCTCATGCAATTTCCCCGAACGGTGTTTCATTTTCGAACTGAAAACAATGAGTCCCAACCAGAGTTAAAAAAACCCGACTCTTTTGGAGGGATCTAAATTGGTAGCACTAGTCAGTGTCACTAAGATTAGTCTTAAGTTTATGTTTGTACAACTAGTAACCTCATAATAGAATCTTCTGGATCCTACATTGACTCTTTATATGCATATATGTAAAAAACATGAAACAAACAGGTGTGAAAAGAGAATGGGGGTCAAGGTTTGACCTGCAGGTCCAAAATGTTGTAAGTGTTGCCGGCATCATCACGGGCGGATGGAAGTTCTGGAGCATGCATCCACTGACCATCGACAATGAACCGGAACTCATAAACACCTGAGGGAAGGACTTTCATTATGGTGAAGTCTTTCCCAGATCTTTGCAAGCATATCCTGATAAACAGGAGAGGAAATGCATGATGAGAGACTGAAGGGCCAAATTATATATATATAAAACAATGTCCTAAAATCAGATGGAAGATGGTGCAAAACCTTGTCTTCCAGTTGTCCCATGAGCCCTCAACGGCTATTTCTTTACCCCCGTGGCACCATGTGATCATTGTGGGAATACCTTGTTGCTGCTCGTTGCAGGGCCCTTCATAAACAGAAGGTTGCATCCATGAGGGGTTTGGAATGTGAATTTCGTCTGGCCTTTGCAGTGGAAGAACCGGAACCTAAAGGCAACAACTTTAGTTTAAAAACCATATGACTTTCTATCAAAACAACACCATCACAATCATCGTCAACTCAGATCCAAGCGCAACAAATCCTACATCAGCAACAGTCAAACTAGATTCCTCAATCACCTCGAGGGCGATCCCTCATCTCATAGCAATAAAATTCGATATCCAATGACTCAAGAGGAAGTGAATATAGAACTGGGAAGGGGACAAACCTGAGGAGCGAACATGAGAGGGGACTGGGTGGCTCGAGGGCTGTGAGGAGGGGAGTGACCCATTGCGACATGGGTGCCGTCAGAGGCAGCCATGGCTTCACGCGAGCTATTCTCAGCACCGTCTTCTTCAACCGCAGACAGAGTATTGCTTCCGTTCACATTACCCATATCCTGCTGCTGTCGCTTCAATCAAGTTCCCAAATTTTTTTCTGGGGATGCGGAAATCGAGGGTAAAATTTGTACCCTTTTCAGCCCAGAGATCGAATACAAAGAGAAAGAGACCGATTTATGGCGATAAAGAGGAAAATCCCCGTGGAGATGGGAAGGATCAAGCGTTGTCCTTGTGAAATCTAAAAGGCTCCATCTTCCATACTCTACAACAATCATATCATCATCAAAACGATCCTTACGCTTTCTCCATCTCTCCCTTCATCATGGATCTCGCTACTTGCCCCTTCCACTATCCTCCCTCTGTTTTTCCTTTCTTTGTCTTTTCCACCCGAAACTTTTTAGGATTGCAAATACACCCCATGGGTACGGTCTCGGTCTTCTGTTTTATTATCTGAACGACCCACGTCACCAAGTGTTCATTTTTCTTCCATATATGTATATAACATCCCCATTTAACATTAGATATGGTAACCGTGCCAACGTGAACTCTCAACAACCAAATATTCGATGTGGCAATTAAAGCATAAAAGCGACAACATATGGAGCCCGCTTTCAGTTTCATTAGGCTGTCTCAGTCTGTATCTGTACATAAAAACCTTTGTTGGTTTTTCATGGATTCGGCCGGTTTTTACTCATTGTTATGTTTTATGTCGTTTTACAAAAAAAAGGGCATGATTTTCTGGTGGTAAAACACACCTCAAACTCTGTTTCCTAACTTGGAGCATCTTATTTTAGATTTGTTCAAACATCTCAAGTTTCTTTCCCTTGAATTTTGAGGTTCTTTTTACAAGTTTTAATATTGGAATCGATCCATGAACACATTTTTCTGGTTCTTTCTTTCTTCTGAAAAAAATAAAAGAAAAAAGACAGAATTTTTTTTTCACAGATTTGGATAAGGGAGTTATGAGTTTGAAATGGAAAGTCCTCTTCTTCTTCCTCAGGGTTTTCCCCTACTACCCATTCTGTTGGTCATATTCCTTACACTACCAATGGCAATGGCAAAGAACTAAGCATTGAATAATGGCATAAACTTTCCAAACCGTCTGTCAACAACACAGTATCCAAAGGACCAAAACCCTACACTGCCCGTTTTACTTGCAAGCGCACAACAAGACCAGACAAAGGCTAGAAGAAATCGAATTCGAGATACTTATCCAAACCCTTCTGTGGCTGAGACAGTACGCTCTTCTCGCCAGTCGCGGCAGGTAGACTTTCTTCTACCTCCAAAGCCTTTGCTGCGGGTATTTCCGGCGGAGTGGCACACCGTATCAATGCCCAGTTCACGCCTTCAAAGAAAGGATGCTGCTTTATCTCGGTTGCACCTCGCTTGACAGCCAGCCTATGCTGAGGCTCTTTCACGAGCAGCCCTCGTATGAGATCCCTCGCTGCAAAACTCACGACGGGTGCCTCTGGAAAACGAAGTGGCTGACCCACCACGTTGAATAACGTCTGGCGATTGCCTGATCCTTTGAAGGGTGTCCTGCCGAAGAGAAGCTCGTAGAGAAAGATGCCATAAGTCCACCAATCAACTGCACTTCCATGCCCTTCGCCCTTGATTATCTCAGGAGCCAAGTACTCATGCGTCCCGACAAAGGACATGGACCGAGCATCAGTCGGCTCAGCAATCAGCTCGGGTAATGGGCTGACTTGGTTTCCTGTTTCGTTTTTGGCCTTCCGTTCCTTTTTGGACTTGCTCGAGAAGAATCTGGGCGATAAACAAGTCGTAGGTCCAACGCATGATGGTTGTATACAAGATGGCTGGACGCAATAAACAGGGTTTTTCCGTGACGGGTTAGATTCAAGAGATGTGGTTTTCACAAGAGTTGGGCTTACAGCACAGCGGAGGGACAGATCAAAGTCCGATAGCATTATGTGTCCATCTTCCCTCACAAGGACGTTTTCTGGCTTAAGATCACGATAGATAATACCGAGCATGTGAAGGTACTCCAAAGCCAACAGGACCTCGGCCACGTAAAATCTGCATTTTGAGATAGAGAAACACAGTTGTCAATTCCTAAAGACTTGGAAAAAACACAAGTACAGCTATATCTTAACCTTTGTGTAGGAAAGATAAACAGACAAGCATTACGATTCCTCAAATTTAAGGCTTTCGAGAACATACTTAACGGCCTGCTCGGGGAAATACTTGCCGGGTTGCCTTTGCCTGAGCATGTGCAGGTCTCCTCCAGGACAGAATTCCATCACCAGACAAGAGAATTTATCGGTCTCGAAATGGGTGTAAAGGGTTGGAAGGAAAGGATGATCCAAGCACTGCAGTATCTCTCTCTCGGTCTGAGCTCGAAGGAGCTTCTTACGAGTAGCTAAGGATGTCTTGTCCATAACCTTCATGGCAAAATAACACATGGTTCCGCTCAACTCTGCGAGGTAAACGCTTCCGATATCACCGCAACCCAACCTCTTGAGGAGCCGGAAATGGCTTAAACCCAAAACCCCTCTCGATCTGACGGCCTGGATGGCTTCCCATCTCAAGTCATTGCCTTTGTGAGGTTTGCTTATACCGCTGCTACAGCTGCTTTCATCGCTCACATCACTGCTTGTGCTTCCCCTGCATATGCTGTTCTTCCCACTCTCTGCAAATTCAAGACGATCGCTAATCTTGGCGCTTCCACTCGTTCTCCCGAGATTGCTACTTGTCCCGTCGCTGCTAATCTTGGCAGAAACAAAACTGTCCTTCACACTTTCATAATCGGAACCAGATGTTTTCTTCCCTTGGTCAATGTAATTGTCTTGCAGACTTCTGGTCTCACTAACAGGAGAATCAACTCGACCGGGTGTTTTTCCAAGATTGGGTGACATAGAGATTGATTCGAGCTTCGTCTCCAAGGAATCACAAGAAGTTGGCAACTTTTCTGCTTCAGAAGCTCCTCTATCACATGGCTTTGCCTTATTCTCAACGTGTTTTTGTAACTGCACGTCCCTTTTTAGAATATCTGCCTCTGGTTTGGAAGCCATTTTGGCAATTATGGTTCAGAGGCTAGTGAAGGGACATCAGATCAGAATAACTCCATCTCCGAGCTCGCCGTCAAAGAACTGCCATTAATGCACAGACCAACTCACAAACTTCAGAAACAAACAAATGTATGCAAATCCTGAACAGCTAGACAGTACAAGCACAAGTCCCGATTTCAAGTACCAAGGCAGCTAGACAGTACAAACACAAGCACAAGCACAAGCTTCTGCAGAACCAAATCACAAGATCAGACGATTTAGTCAGCACAAGTATAAAAAAAAAACGCAAACTTTGTCAAGGAAAATTAGTCAAAATTCAGCTCAATTAACCGATCCCGAATTCAAAAAGGTGAAACCGGAGGCGTAAATCAAGCGGAACGAGACGAAGACAACCCAGATTACAAAAAAAATTAAGACACCCATACTCAAAAACTCAGAGAAATACAAAACGAGAAGGGTTTTTTTTCTAACATACACGACGAAGCAACTTTCGAAAAGAGAAATTTCCGGCTACCTGCTTCCGCTACAAAGGTAGATAGACGACGCGACGGAGATGCGGCGGCGACCTCCGCCGGAGAGATAGAGAGAGGGGGAGGGAGGGAGGAACAAAGGTCTTGTCAGAGCGCAGAGCTTTCCTTTTTCTTTGTATTTCGTTGTTGATTCTTAATAAATAAAATTTACGCAGAGAAGCCATTGCCCCACTCTGTTCCCTGCTTTCTTCTTTCTCCCTCCTCTTTTTCAGGACAATATTTTGCCATATTCTCACTTCAATCCTTTTCCCCTGGTTTCATGTAATGGAACGAAAAACCTCAAAAGAGGGGGGGCCCGCACTCTCTATTACAAAAAAATAAATAAGTTTTGTGTTTAAATTATGATTATATTAATTAAAAAGTTTTAGCATTTTAGTATTTAATTTAACTCTTGTTATGGATGATGATGTTGGCGAGTCATTATAAAACGCACAAAATATATGGTCATCATAGAGGCACGAGTCGTGAGCAAATTGTGTCATGTTTTGTTTTGTAATATATGGAGGAAAGGGAAAATTGATTGATTGCGGAAAGAGACCATTTTTCTGAAACCTAGAAAACGAAAATACCATTTATTAAATCTTATCAATTAATCGATCATTATAGACATGGTGAGAAGTGTTAAATAAGTACTACAATTTGTTTCACAAAATATATTGTTTCGGTAAAACATTTTTTTTAAAAATGATATACCTCTAATTGATAATTATAAAATATATATATAGTTTATTTCAAGTTACTACCTTTTGACATTATGATAAGTTTGGGTTTGGGTTTGGGTTTAGGATTTTATCTTGAATTCTAAAACAACAATTTTTTAATAAGAAAACACGTTCTTTTTTTTTTGTGTGAAACATTGGATATTATTAATTAAGCGCATACGTATAGGTGGACCTACGCTTGAATAGGGCATCAATCGGGTCGACACTGCCTGATCCGGCTCGAGTCCGCACGCGATCCGAAGATTTTGGGTTCAAATTCGGGTCGACCGATTTTTTCGGATTTATATAGTTAAACTCGAAACCAGACCCTATATATATCGGATTCGGGTCGGGTCAATCCAACCCGGCCCGCATCAATTCCTTTGTAAATTTCTTTTTAAAATATCGAGTTTTTGGGTCGGCCCGACTCGAATCCAAAACCCGATTCGATTCGACCCAAAAACCCGATTTTTTTCGGACCGAAAAATTTAGGCATGAAACTTACTAATTTTCGAGTTGGGCTGGACTGGGCATCGGGCCCAAAATGCTTGATATAAGGTGCTGTGATCCCATTTGTTTAATTAAAAAATTTATTTTTTTATAAAATTTATAAAATTGTAAAATACCCCCCCCCCTCAAATTAAGTTTGTTTACAGTAAAATTAGATATGCCCCCGATTACAAAGTTTTTTTTGGGTATACACGCGCATTTAAATAGAAAAATGTGTAATAATTAAACACGAAAAGGTTTTTGTGTAAAAGAACAATTACGTAGATAAAATTTCACAGCATGCATGCAACATTTTGGACTGTTTCCCAGTGGTTTTTTATTTTTCAAGTACGCAAAATTACGGATATTACCAAACGAGATTTTGTTTAACTGAATTTGACCCATATCACGATATTTCAGGTCAGAATTAAAATCAGTTGGGATTCTCTTATATACATATACCATGGGGAGGTTCATATCCTTTTATTTTTTTATATTTTTTTAAAGATTAGATAAGAACCTAGTACGTACTTTAAGCTAAGCTAGGGTTCCGGTGTTGCTGGATCAAGTAAATCCCAAGAATTTTACCAAACCTAAATCTTTGCTCTCTATATCTATATCTATATATATATATATATATATACACACACACTCGACCATATAATCTGTTCTTCCTTCTATAGATCAAAGAGATCAAAAGCAATATTAAAACCATGGCCAAGACTATACTTGCAGTGTTCGTTATTCTGTCGTTGTTCCATGTCCATGCACTTGCGGAGAGAAAGGTACATTTTTAAGTTGTTGTTTTTTTCACGCACGAACTGATCTGAGTGTTTCGTCCACTAACAACGTTGCTGCTTCCTCGTGTTTTATTTTTGTGTATGTGTGAAAAAGTCGTACGTTGTTTATTTGGGATCGCATTCACACGGCCCTGAAATCTCCCCTTCAGACTTGAAACGCGTAGCCGAATCTCATCATCAGTTCCTTGGATCCTTCTTGGGCAGGTTAGATGTGTTTTATCTCCTGTAAAGCTTGTGTTCAATCACCCAACCCTAATCGGCTCAGTGGTGTGTGGAGGAGGCATTGCTTTGCTCCATCCCACGCTCGAACCCTTAGGAGGGTATAACCCATTTCCTTGGCCCGGGACAGGGACATGGTCAAGGGTCAATAACCCGACCCGCCCACCAACTTTTTCAAATCACTTTTACCCAAAAAAAAAGGTTGTGTTTAATTTTCTGTATATGTTATGATCCTAAATTCGGTGTCTGGTTCCAATGAAACAGTCACGATAAGGCGAGAGACGCGATCTTTTACTCGTACAAGAGACACATAAACGGCTTCGCAGCCATTCTTGAAGAAGAAGAAGCAGTTCAAATCTCGAGTAATTAAAGATATATATAACATTATATTTTAAATTCTCTTCACACTGGTATATATATATATATATATATATATATATATATGTATAGTAAAACCCATATTGAATTTTTTTTGGCAGAGCATCCGAGTGTGATATCTGTGTTTCCGAACAAAGGCAAGAAGTTGCACACAACTCATTCATGGGAGTTTATGCAACTGGAGAAGGACGGCATTATCCCTTCCGGCTCATTATGGTTGAACGCACGATTTGGTGAAGACACCATCATTGGCAACCTTGACACTGGTATGCTAAATATATATCATATGCTAATATAGTGAATTATTCGTCATCTTTTTTTGCGAATCCGCTTGCATTTTATGTAAGTTTATATTACAGATCTTAATCGTATAGCCTAATAAACTAACTGATGGCTGTTCTGTCTTTGCTCTAAACAGGTGTTTGGTCGGAATCCCAGAGCTTTGGAACTGATGGGATCGGTCCAGTCCCTTCAAGATGGAAAGGAACATGTAAAACTGCCGAAGGTGTTCGCTGCAACAGGTCGTTTTCGTTTGCATTATAAAATATATATATAGTTTATTTCAAGTTACTACCTTTTGACATTATGATAAGTTTGGGTTTGGGTTTGGGTTTAGGATTTTATCTTGAATTCTAAAACAACAATTTTTTAATAAGAAAACACGTTCTTTTTTTTTTGTGTGAAACATTGGATATTATTAATTAAGCGCATACGTATAGGTGGACCTACGCTTGAATAGGGCATCAATCGGGTCGACACTGCCTGATCCGGCTCGAGTCCGCACGCGATCCGAAGATTTTGGGTTCAAATTCGGGTCGACCGATTTTTTCGGATTTATATAGTTAAACTCGAAACCAGACCCTATATATATATATATATATATATATATATATATATATTATATAGAATGGGGTTGTTGATTTTTTTAATGTGTAAAATATTTTTCAGGAAGCTAATAGGAACAAGGTACTTCAACAAAGGTTACTTGGCTCACACGGGTCTTAAGACCAACTCCTCGTTCGAGTCAGCATGCGACCATGAAGGCCATGGAACTCACACTCTCTCCACTGTCGGAGGCAACTTTGTACGTGGGGCAAGTGTCTTTGGCGTTGGCAATGGCACGGCCAAAGGCGGTTCTCCACTGGCCAGAGTGGCTTCTTACAAAGTGTGCTGGACTCCCGTTAACGGTTCTCAGTGCTTTGACGCCGATATCTTGGCCGCCTTCGATATGGCCATTCATGACGGCGTTGACGTCCTCTCCATATCCCTCGGTGGGGATCCCGCTGATTATTTTAACGACGGCCTTGCCATCGGGTCATTCCATGCTGTGAAACATGGCATCACCGTTGTGTGTTCTGCTGGAAACTCTGGCCCGGCTCCTTCCACTGTCTCGAACGTTGCTCCTTGGATATTGACGGTCGCTGCCAGCACACTCGACCGGAAGTTCCAGAGCTCTGTTGAGCTTGCCAATGGCCGACGCTTCAAGGGAGAAAGCATGTCAAAGCCATTGCCGATGAAAGGGAAGATGTATCCACTTATAACCGGTGCACAAGCCAAACTTGCCAATGCAAATGCTTCAGCAGCGTAAGTCATATCTCTTGGATCGATCGATGGATACAGTTGATGAGTTGACATTTTTGGCGTAAATAACTCTTCTGATTCCCAAAAAAAAAACTGCAGCCTCCTTTGCAAGGAAGGTACATTGGATCCAGAAAAGGCAAAGGGTAAGATCATGGTGTGTCTGAGAGGAGATTCAGCCAGAGTGGAGAAGGGAAGACAAGCCGCTCTGGCCGGTGCTGTCGGTATGATCCTTTGCAATGACAAGTCAACCGGCAATGACATAATCGCCGATCCCCATTTCCTTCCAGCTTCACAGATCAACTACGTCGACGGCCTTTCAGTTTTCTCTTACATTAACTCTACCCAGTATGCATCCCTGTCTCTTTTCTCTTTCTTTGCTTTGCAGTCTATCATTCTAGGTCAAGCCATTGTCTTAAATATGAGTTTTTTTTTTACAGTGATCCAATGGGTTATATCACTGCACCCACGGCTGCTTATGGCATCAAACCAGCCCCATTCATGGCAGACTTCTCATCTCAAGGACCAAACTCTGTTACACCTGGCATCCTCAAGGTTGTCTCCTTATCTAGTCTTGTCTGTGTTATGGCGTTGTAGTAACTTTTTTTTTCTTCCAGCCGGATGTAACTGCTCCTGGAGTTAACATCATAGCTGCGTACACGAGGGAACAAAGCCCGACAGGCTTGGAATCCGATACACGAACCACTGCTTACATTACAGAATCAGGCACGTCCATGGCCTGCCCTCACGTGGCCGGAGTTGCTGGTCTTCTCAAGACGATGCACCCTTCGTGGAGCCCTGCCGCCATCAGATCCGCCATCATGACAACTGGTACGTAGTGATTCTTTTCATTTCTGTTTATACCCTTTTAGAGAGAATATTTCATTCCGAGAAATTGCTTTTCTTGGCAGCGAGAACAAGAGACAACAGGGTGAGTCCGATGATGAACGCGTCGTACGTGAAGGCGAACTCCTTCAACTACGGGTCAGGACACCTCAGGCCAAACCGGGCGGGAGACCCTGGTCTGGTCTATGACTTGACAGCCGATGACTACTTGGACTTCCTCTGCGCCATAGGTTACAACCAGACCATGATGGAGTTGTTCTCGGACGGTCCTTACAAGTGTCCGGAGGGAGCGAGCCTTCTCGACTTCAACTATCCGTCGATCACGGTGCCTAACCTCAAAGGGCCAGTGACGGTGACGAGAAAACTGAAGAACGTGGGAGGAGGAGGAGGGAGGTACGTGGTTCGTGTGCGGGAGCCGTATGGAGTGTCGGTGAAGGTAGAGCCGAGAGTGTTGGAGTTTGAGAGAGTTTCTCAAGTCAAGAGCTTTGAGATGACGTTGAAGCCCAAGTGGGATGGTGCTGCTTCTAACGGCTATGTGTTCGGCGGTCTGATCTGGTCTGACGGCATCCATTTTGTCAGAAGTCCCATTGTTGTTGCTGCTGCCACCTGATCACTCTAACCGGTTCATTTAAGACCTTTGTTCTCTCTCTTTTTTTTTCTTTTTCTTTTTTTAAATTTCCGTGTTCTTTTTTTTTGTTTGGGTTATGGTTTGATACTGTTATTTATTAGGACGATAAGAAGACATTTAGTTTTCTCTATGGTCACATACTCGGAGAAAATCAAAGATTATTTGGATTTAAATTTGAAAATTTTGGGTATATTCGACCAAATTTTGGATGACTCAAATGTTAAAGGACAACAAATTTTTTTTCTAAACCAGAATTTGAAAAGGGATATTCATTTGAATTTTTTCGAGATATAATTGGGTCAAAGTTTCAAATCCATAGATAACGAGATAACAAGATAATTTTCAAATACTCTCGGTATTTAGATTCAATTTTATTTAATAAAACAATATTTATAAATAAAAATGTTTGTCTAAATTATTAATTCTAAAATCTTGGCTCATAATTCTTGAATCGTAGTTCTATGCCATTTAAATAAAACCCTTAATCATGTTAAGAATATAGTATCTAAATAAATAATTTCAATGTAATTGATTTAAATGCAAACGTTAGAATGATGTGTACTCATAATCTTCTCCAATTAAGGGCAATTAAAAGCAAGTCACCGACAATGTGTAGGCTAAGGTCCACTAAAAGAATCTGTAGTGATAATTTGATTAGTGAGCAACGGACCAGCAAATAAAATACTTATGCCTTAATATGCATTTTGATCATCATTACGCGCCGTAATAACGAGAGACGATTAGTTAAAATGATGCAAGGTTCGATGGTTGTACACATAATTATACCAAACACATATAATAATTACAAACGTGTTAATACATTTACTTTTTTTTTCAACTTCAGAATTACCATAAAAAAATTACTTTTTTTAATCATTTATTTATTTAATAGAAAAAGATACTTGTAAAAGTAACAAAAGTTTGGGTGAACATGTAAAGCATGTTTTTACCCTGGGTTCAAACTCGTGTAGGAGATGTAGTCGGTCAAAAGCTCGGTGAACTCCCACGTTATAAAAAATAAATGAACATCATAAAAAAAATGAAGACCCAACAAAAACATAAAGTTCTCAGCCACTCGTGTTGGGTGGGTTTACGGGGAAATTGGATCACGAGTCGGCCGACGGTGAATTTAACCGTGGGCCTATCATCCAGCCTGTCCCCTTTTTTTTATATATAATTATAAATTAAGGTTAAAAATGCGTAAAAATAAGTTAATTTTTTTTAACAATTTCGCATTTTCTGGAAGAAATTAAGAGGGAAAAAAACTGTATCGCATTATTGACAAATAGTTCCGATTTTATCCAGCGCAAATTTCCTCTTTATTATTTTTTTTTTATGAGAGAGGAGTGTTTTCCTCTGTGTTAATTCTTTCCATCATCATCGTCGTCGTCATCATCATCCAGTGAATCACAGTCGATAGAGGGGAGGGGAAGGATAATGCTTTGTGCTTTGGCTCCATTTGGGCGGCAACAATGGTGAAACTTCGCAGTCTGGTTCTCGGTCTACTTCTGCTGACGGTCGCTGCTCCTCTCCTCTTCTACACGGACAACGCCTCCACCTTCAAGACTCCTTCTTGTCCGCTATCTCTCTCTCTCTCTCGCGTCTCCGATTCTCTTCCGATTC